CATACGCATAAAGACCCCAAGGATACTTCCTCATTTTCTCGAAATCCATCACCAAACGAATGTATTCGTGAGGGATATGCACTCTCTCATCCTTCGCAATGACGAATCCATGGATAACACAGAGATACACTAGCCTCACCCTGTCCACGTACGTCCATTTGTTGCAAACTTTGAGGAGTTCCTTCTTTACACACATTAAATTGATCTTCTCTTTTTTGCTTCAGCACCGTGCTCCAGAACCCCTTATCATTCTTCCAACTATCGAAGTCCATATCTGGTTCCAGAACCCCTTATCAAAATTTGAGGCCTTTGTTCATTGATGGCCCTTACCTTAAGACTGCCCAATATCTGAGTGGAGGATATGAAGGGAAGTATGTCTACACTTATCTTCTGAAAGGAAACACAGTCGAGTTCTTACTCCCGGCTCCAGCGGTTACTACGATGAGTAGGCCTGGAATAGTCAACTTCAACCTACCCGATGGAAGCTTCCTAGGCCCTCATGGTCCCCTTGATACCCTCGCCACTACTCGGAGAAAGAAAGCAGAAAACCTTGCTGCTGCGTCTCGCGACACTGCCACAGAACGGCCTCCGAGCCCTATCTACGGTCCTCCCCGCTACTACTTTGACCAGTATTCAGGAGCTATCCCTCACGGTCCCGTCCGGGAAGCTCATGATTACATCAACAAGCTCCAAAGGTGGAACAAGTCTCAAGACAGAGCTTATTACAAGCTTAAGGCCAAATACAAAGAGCTCAAAAAGACAGTGAAAAGGAAAGCTGCAGTTTCTGCTCAGTTCATGAAGAAGGTTGCTGATTTATTGGTCAAGGGAAGTGTAGCAGGCTGCAAATCTGCAGATTTTGTCTTAGGAGAAACATCAGCTCCACAACCCCGTCCTCTTGACTTGACAAGAGATCCTTACCAAGAGCTCAACCGTCCTCCCTCTGCGAAGCAGTACAACCGCATGAAGCGCAACCCTTACATTCCTCCCTCCCAGTCCGATAATGAGTCTCCTTCCCTTACCACAACTGATGAGGAAGACATGTGTGATGATGCATACAGCATGCCTGTTGTTGAGGAGGAGGGAAGTGACAGAAATGAAGGAGTTGGAGAGGAATATGAAGGAGTTGGAGAGGAATATGAAGAGGGAGAGGAGAATATAGAAGAAGAAGAAAGCGATGGAGGCGATGTGCCGGACGACATCATTGAAGTGAGTGATGCAGATGATGAGAGTGATGTCGAAGACACAGAGATCGAAGGCGAGGAAGACAGCGACGGTGGAAGCTCAGCTTCTGCCACTTTTTAAACAGGAGGTATTCTTCCATCTCATCATTGTATATACCCGTTTTCTATTTTTATTTTTATCTTCCGGTATCTCCTTCATTCTAAGTCCCACAGGAGACTGTGTGATTGAAGTTTGGGGGAGGTACCAAGTTTCTAATGCATTTTCTCTTGTTTTGTTTCATTTTAAGTATTGCATTGTAGATATCTATTTGCATAGAAAATCCAAAAAAATTAAAAAAAAATTTCAAAAACAACAAAAAGAATCATGTAGTTGCATCATTTGCATTCTCTTTTAGTTGAGTCTAAAGCATATAGGTTGCATTCATATGCATTGGGAACAATGATTTTAAAGTACCTTGTAAAGAAACATGTCTAAGGCTCAAAGTAACACCCTAGTTAAACATATCAAGTAGCTTAAACATCTCTTGAAAACCTTGCACGCTTCGAGCCTTGAAAACTCTTCTTGAAAACTTGTTTGCTTGCTTGAGATCAACTTTGTTCTTGTAGCCAACTCCAAACTGAACCTGAAGTGAATGAACTTAAATTCTCTTTCAAATGGGCACTTGCATACTTAGTCATGGATTATACACATTTGGGTTATCTTATTCCATTTTACCACTCTTTGTTAACCCAAATGGCACCTCCATACCCTTAAACCCTTACCATTCCTTGAAGCCAACATTTATTTGCTTGAGTGAGGCCTTTTTGTGAAAGCTAGTCATGTGCAAAATCTTGAGAGTATTAGGAGCGA